GGCTTAGTTATTGCCCTGCCTTCCTGCTGTTGATAAGTTTTCTTTTGATTGCATTTTTGCTTTTTGAATAAAAACATTTTAGGGCTGTTTGTTGGGCCCTCCTGTAAGCTGTGAACACACCTGAGGAATACAGATTTTCTGTGCCTCTGTGACGGTGGTGGTGTGCTAGCTAGGCACCTTACGGTTTTTGTGTTACTGTGCCATAAGTCATGGGGCCCCGTTCCTTCCGACTGTGAATCTGAAAGTTGCTAATTCGAGGAAAGACAGCAGATAGATTTCTTTCTGCCTGGTCAGTCTCTTTCTTTGCTTATGCTGGAATTTCTGCAGGCAGTAAAGATAAGATTTATATCCTTTTGTGGCTATTAAAGCACTCGCAAGAGCTCCCTCTGCCTTGCTCTAGTTGTTCGAAGCGGATCGGCGTGGGGGATGTTCGGGTGCACCTTCCAACCCCTGGAGAAAGTGCTGCAGCCCGGGCTGCGGACCCCTGCCCGCTTCGGGGTTGCTGGCCCCGGGCGAAAGGGGCCACCCAGGTGGCTCCCGGTCCTCATCGGAAGGTCTGAACGTGGCCCGAGTTCTGCCGAGTTAATTTGGGTGTGATAGCTGCGGTTTTAAGTACGCTGTTAAGAAAAACACCTGCTGTTGCCGGAGCCTGCAGCGCAAAGGTGGGCAGCTTGGAGACACGAGACTTGAGTATGAATTCGTGCACGTTTGCTTTTCTTTCCTGGGTTGAAAATACATAGTGCTGTTAAAGTATATTTGCAAAGCAATTACTAACAAATGAAATACAAAATGCACTTGTTTCTGTGCTGCTTACGGATGGAGATTTGCCGTGCAGGTTGACTGTCGGGCTCCTAGCGCTGCAGCATCGCCCCTCGCTTGCCCTACATTCCCCTTCCTACCGCCAGCGTCCTCACCGAGCTGAATGGTCTCTTTGTTTGGAAAGAATGCAAACAAAATTTGTGCTGTCTGAAAAGGGCTAGCTCATCATTTGTAGCTCTGAAATGGACTGGAAAATAACTTTTTTCTCCCTCCCTCTTGTGCTGGTGACATTCTGTCTTTCACTTTTCAAGAATAGTTGGTTTGTGATTCAGCAACAGAAGAGTGATCTTCACAAAACCTTGGCAGGGGCTCGAGAAGGTGTAAAGTGATACACAACTGTTTGGATGCAGTGATTATGGATTTAAAACACACTGTTGTGCTGACACAAGTCCCGGGTCTTCATTAATATCTTTTGTCTGAGAGCCGTGGAAACTCAAAACCATTGAGCAAATAGTTCTGTGTTCACCAAGACGTTCGGATATTTAACCTTACACAAATAAAACCGGAATGCTTTGTCAGGGGTCATTGACGGTAACCTCTGCTGACGTAGGGATGGAAGAGCTTGACTTCGGCGGCCTGATGCACCAGTCTGACCTTCCAGCTTCTGAAGCTCCTCTTGGTCTGGGTGTTGGCAGCGACTAGGCAGAAGTGACTTCCAGTGTTTGTGTAAGGGCAGATCTTGTTTGCACATACCATGAGATCAACTAATGGTACTTCTTAAGCCTCGGTACTCGAGGACCGGTAACCTAAAGAATCCATAAATAGCTTCTGCGTTTTTTTTAAAGCCACGAGTTCAGTTTTTGGTCAGGCCTGGGCCCATGTGTTGCTGCGAGCAACTGGTACAAGACTTGAAATTTGCAGGAAGCCCAGAAGTGAGCCAGGAACCTGGGGTGATCTCCTTGGAAGGAGACTTCGTTCGTAAGCTGCGCGAGCTGTGCTGGAGGGTAACAAACATTTCCAGATTTTTGTTTGAAAGTATGGAGTTACAGTAAGTGTTTAATACGCTGGCAGCATACTTCCAGGTTTTTCTGTGAACTCCAGTTTGCCCTGTTGAAGTTGATGAATATCTTCCCGACACTTGATGAGGGAGTAATTTCATGCTCATCATTAATTCATTAGTTCTGTCATTATCCTCCTGTGATAGCAATATGTCCGGTCTGCATGCCATTCAATTTTTATGCCCGTTACCCTCTTAAACCCTTTTCCTGAACTTAATGCTACTGGAAGCTCCCCATACCTGTAATATCTTCTCTCTGAAGCCTTCGTGTTTCTGCCGGCACAGTGTCGCCGGCGACTCCTTTGGAAAGGCCGAGAACCGAATGGGCATTATAGCGATGCAGAAGTCTGGTTTTTCCAGCCTGTTAAAACTACTTTGAAAGTATTTAGAGGCAAATAGTTCTTGCTATTTATAACAGTCTTTCTGTTATGAAGGCTGAACTAGTATTATATTGTAATTGGAAGGGAAGCCGAGTATAACGTGGGATTAGAGATTTATTTTATCCCCAAATACTAGAGTTAGCTAAATCCCTCGCAGTGCAGAGAAGAGTTAATTTCCTTGGCTGGGTTAATAGCTTACTTAGCGCATGAGAAGTGGCTGTCAAACCTCCTGCTTTATCTGGGCAGAACCTAAAAGTAAATGTCCCTGTACAAAATACTTTTATATATGATCTTTTGGTTAATGCTGTGTTCATTTGTTTCATAGCATTGCTGTGGAGCACGGCATCATAGCAAACAACTTGGTTAAATGCTACGAAGTGTAGGGATAGTTAGGTGTATTTGGGACAGTTTTGTATGTTGGCTATTCATCATTCAGCAGATTTATTTTTCAAACCACATACGTATGATCCTAGCTGTATTGATTCATAAATTTAACTGCACATGAGTGATGAAGTACTGCTTTGGCTACCTGGAAAAAAATGGAGCGCTGACCTGAAACCGAGGTCTGAAGGTTCCAAGTTGGTGTCCTAGAAATAGTGGACAACCTCGGCCTTTAGTCACTGTACTGCTTTAAATCCTTAGAAATGGGGAATTTTGCCCCTTTACACTCTGGTTCATGTTTATGAAATACTTGGGAACCGTAAGAGGCTCCGTGGGGAGCTGCATTTGGTATTCATTTAAAGGTTATTCTCCATTTTCCTTTTTGGCTGCATGTGTGGTAGGTGTCCATCTAGCAAGGGCCATCCCCGTTCTTCTCCCCGCAGGACACAGGCCTGTGGGGAGGGGGATTCTCCTCCTCCCCGTCTAAAACTGTGTAGCCCTTCCCAGAGAGGCCCCGGTATCCCGATTTTCATGTGAAAAGACTTTACTAATTTAATATTTCAGTGTTAGAATGAAGTAGTGTGTGCAGTACATAGAGCTAAAAGGAGTTGGACTTGGTGGAGTTCAAAGCAGACTTCCCATGTAGACTTCTTACATAATAGTGTGTTTCATAAATTCTATTTAATCTTACTTGGTATAAAATGACCTTGTAGATTTAGGAGGGAAGTTTGTGATTGCAGCTGCTGCCTTTTGAAAAGTCTAAATATAAACAGATCTTTGGAAAGCATGAAAAACTATCAGCGGTGTTTCTCTGATTTGAATTGAAAGTCAGAACTCTGGCATGTAATTAGTGTCAGAGCATTTTGAGAAGATGGCTTGTAGTGTTCCTGCTCCGCTGGATGCAGTCTGCGCGAATAATTCTTGTAGGCAATTTTGGGAAGAGAAGGTTGAAACGAGTCGTGGTCCTCAAGCCTCTTGTGCTATGGAGGAGCTGCTGGGGGGTCCTCATCCTGGCTCGTCTTGCATGGCATCCGTCTTGGTCTGAGCCCGTCTCTTCTGGGGAAGAGCCATTAGTTTGTACAGATTGCACAAATGAGGTTTCACCGACGTTGTACACGATGGTGTTCATGTTTCCCTGCCTCGGGTGGAAATTTCTCACCAGGTGCCTGCAAGATCGTATTTGCCTGTTGTAGGGTTGCCTCTCCGCTGGATTCCAGGTGCTCCATGAAAGTAAAACAGTAATCTCTCAGCCTTCGGTCTTTCTTCTTTGCCACGTGAAAACAGCTGCTGATTCACAGAAGAAATTCTTAGGTAACAGGCATGTAATGTTGCATTTTGTGCTGCTGACACCCGTCCCGTGTTTGTATTCTGTCTTCAAGATTATCAGTTCCTTATTGCAGTCGTCCTTCTTACAGCGCCTCTCACTTCTGTGAACAGTAGACTTCAGATAGGACAATTAATAATGAAAATATTAAATACTGGTTTCAGTATTGGTCTCGGCTAAGGATCTGTCTTCAGTTTCATAGTTTCTTCTTTCCCAATTCTTCTCAGGACAGCTCTCCTTCATCTCCTCTTCAGTCAGGCCTTGCAAATCCCAGTTAGCTAACCTCTTTGCAATACTATTTAGCTCAAGAGACAGCTTAGGGCTGCTGCCGCTTGTTTCGGTGGTGTAAAAAGCAAGATGACTGTTTTTAGTAGTCTGGAGGCTTGTCACACGCTCTGGTGTAGGCTCTGGCATTGACTGCTCTGAGTTACGATAAACAGGTAACAAGCATTAAGATTTCCATAGTTATTCTTGTTATTCTTACAGGTAGGTTACTTGAATAAGATTAATGGAAAGGAGAATCTTGGGGAAAAGAGGCATTTTTTTGGAGAAGTTTCTGAAATGGTGGTGTCACAAGGATTAGGTATACAAGTAAAAAAAAAAAAAAATAAAAATTCACCATGATATTTCACATAGTTTTTCAGCATACGCCAAATATTGTGGTTTAATCCTTTTTGGGGAAAGAATCCTTTTAGAAAAGAAGATGAAAGCTTGCTGCTTTGTTTAGGATGTTCAAATCTATACCCAAACTCCCAAATTTCTTCTTTTTGGAAGTTCTCCAGAAAAATTGCAAAAACCTGGTATTTTTTGTTGTTAAAGATAAGCAAGAAACTTAAAAGCTTTTACAAGCCAGATCATCGTAACAGTGTTAGCTGAAGGTGTCCGTTGACCGACTGTAGGCGCTTCGAGGCCCTGTTTGCGCTGGTAGCCGTGCTCCTCTTGCATTCCAGCTTACTGGGCCGTCCCTGGTTTACCTGGCGATTCAGTAAAAGAAGGAAAAAAACCTGCTGTTCTGTCCGTAGCAATTCGGAGTTGACGTGGAATTGCTTTTTTTGGTAAGTAAATACTAATTGCTTATTTATGTGTTTGTTTATTTTAGGGATAGACTTCAAGATTAAAACTGTTGAATTACAAGGAAAGAAGATCAAGCTACAGATATGGTGAGTAATGTACTCCAGAAGCTACGGGATGGCATCCTTCCGGATGGCTTCTTTCAGAAGCAGGTTTTCGTGAGAAGAGTTTACTCTTTCTGAGATTGCATTCAGGTATCTAATTCTGTAACTGTGTTTTGTATTTTCAGTAGTGGTAAAGCTCCGTGTGTTAAGAAATGGGGAAGAGATCCACGTGTTGCGTTTATAAGCGCTGTTACTGCTCCCTTGGACAGGCTGTTGGCAAATCTGTTTGGGAGGACAGCATCCTCGCAGTCTGTGATTTAGTGGGAAGTGTTTTAAAACTGGAATTTTTAAATTAGGAGTTGCCTCGAATCTATGACTATAAATTGACCGGTAGCCTTGCTTTGTGTCAGCAAGAAAGTGTAATCCACGTCTGCACTTATTTTATATTTTTCTATGGTAAACTGTGGAGAGTTTCTCAGCTGGCTGAAAACATGGCTGCTTTTTCTCTTGGGAGGTCTAACGTGAGGCAAAACTGAAACTCTTTTAGCTTGCTCTGCATGTCTAACTAGAGGTTTTTCTTCTGTTTTAATAGCCCTGCAACAAGTCAGGTCAGGAAAGCTAATGGCTTTTGCCAGCCCGTGTGTTTGTTCAGACTCCCTCCTCAACCACGTACACGTATTGCTGGTGCATTCTCCAGCTTCACTGAGAGTTCAGAACTTGGAATTTGTTTAGAACTTGAATTTGCCCATTTTGTCCTCCACTAATAAAAATCTTTCATGGCTTGATAATGTTGATGTTTGTAGATGCAGGTGGATGGGTTCCAGTTAGAAGGAAGCACTGCCCTTCCTCTGTCTGAGGAAAACTGGCTGAATGATTATCCTTCCTAATGAATGCGTTCTGCATCCTTGTCACCATCGCTCCGAGTGTCCACCTTGTGCCTCAGTTGTTTCTCATATCCCAGTCCTGCAAGCAGAAGTTGGCCAACTTAGTTATTTTGTGCCTTGCAAGGGAAAGAGTTGTCGAGTTGATATTGTTGTATAAACTGTGTAGCCGGTCGATAAGGAAGCGCTTGGATGATGAAGTAACCCAGCGCGCTGGAATGCTTCAGCGGGGAGCCGCAAAGGGTAACCGTCTCGGTAAGGGAATGTTTTAGACGGAGCGGTCTGAGGAAGGGTGGGTATGGATCTGGAAGCCGAGAGCAGAGCAGGGGAAAGGAAGGGACTGAGAGCATTAGCTAAAGAGGCGTTCAGGTGTAATGCAGCTTCGTTGATTGACTTGCTAAGCAGCTCTTGCTCTGAGTTCACCAGACTGTTAACATTCAGATTTGCAACCCAGATCGAACCATAACTTCTAACAATCATTCTGTGTCGTATTTTTTACCCTAACAGGGTAGGTGCTGTGAATCCCCATGGGACAGAAAGGTAGAACGAAGCATTGGGATGACTTGAAGTGTTAGACTAAACCCGGGAAAAAGTCATCATGAAATGTAGAAAGTGAAAATAGAGAATACGGAGGATGTTTAATGTGTACATAGACAAAGGAGGAAGCCGCAATGAAGCTGTACGTGCGGGGGGTTTTAGTGGCTTAGAGAAACGAAGAGGGGTTTGGGTGAGCCGAGTTTAATGAAACTACAACTTTTAAACGTTGCGAAGTTGGGAGGTCGTTGTCTGAATCTGCTGCTTGTTCCTGACAGTTTGAAATTTCAGATTTGAAATTAAACTTGGAAAGCAGAAAATGAAGTTCCTATGACATGCACTTTTGGGGGGGGGGGGGGAAGGGAAGGAAAAAAAAAAAAATCTAGGCTTTGTAGTTTCCAACTTTTCCTGTACAAGGAGTTTTGCCCAGAGGTGGTTTGGTGGCTAGAACAGTAGTGTCTTTTGGGGAAGATATTTTGTGCAATGCATCTATATTTAACTACCGCTTCCTGTATTTGAACTCACCCTGTACTTCTAGGAGTTGTGTAACATATTTCCAGAATTACACTTCACTCCCGCCGCAGCAGTTTGGTAAGCAAGGGATGCATTTAGTGGAACATTTCCCTTGTAAACCTGAGACTGTTCTTGTAGCTTTTCTTGTGTCCAGAGTACGGGCTGTGCTTTTATAACTGAAGTAAATGCATAGGAGCTAATGTAGCTGAACCAACAAAACATGTCTTCTGAGTCGTAGGTAGCGCTTCCACTGGGACCCAGCTCCAGGCTTGATTAAGCTGATCAGAAGATAACAAAAGACGGGTGGTGAAGAGAAAACAGACTTGCAGTTAAGGACGGGAGATGAGACCCTTGGCGCGTGTGTGCTTTCGGTGTTGCATTGCAGCTGTGCTTGTATTTGTGGAGCGTATCCATGCTCAGAATTTAGAGGAGGAACAACCGCTGTTTCATTTGGGGTTTCCCCCCGTCTGAAAGCTATCGTCCCATTCGCCTAGCAGCTTGCCCTGTTTTTGTATGCGCGTCTGAGCTGTTTCTGGTCACTGACTGTCGTGGTTTAACCCCAGCCGGCAGCTAAGCACCCCCCAGCCGCTCGCTCGCTCCCCGCCCCGATGGGATGGGAGAGAGAAATGGAAGGGTAAAAGTGAGAAAACTCGTGGGTTGAGATAAGAACAGTTAAATAATTGAAGTAAAATAAGATAGAATGGTAGTAATAGTAGTAGTAGTAATAATAATAATAATAATATACAAAGCAAGTGATACATGTTACAATTGCTCACCACCCGCCGACCGAGGCCCAGCCCATCTCTGAGCAGCGATCACTGTCCCCTGGCCAGCTTCCCCAGTTCCTGTACTGGGCATGCCGTCCCATGGTGTGGAATAGCCTGTGGGCTGGCCTGGGCCAGCTGTCCTGGCTGTGCCCGCTCCCAGCGTCTCGCTGGTAGGGCAGGGGAAGCTGAAGAGTCCTTCACCAGTGTAAGCACTGCTTAGCAACAGCTAAAACATCCGTGTGTTATCGACATTATTCTCATCCTCAATCCAAACCGCAGCACTATACCAGCTACCAGGAAGAAAATTAACTCTGTCCCAGCCAGAAGCAGGATGCTGACAGAGACAGGGTACCGGGTGCAATGACGTTGTTCCAGTCCACGAGTGTAAGTCCAGCCGCGGCTCTCCAAAGCGCCACCATTTCCTTGTCCAGCCTTGCATAATGCTATTTTCTTGCTTCCTAGCAGTCCCTTTTATTGTTAGAAGCAAAGGCAGTTCTGTCTTGTCATTGTTGCTGTTATTATTATCATCATCATCATCGTTATTATTATTGCTGCTTATTCAGATTGAAACATCTTTTTTTTTTTCCAGAAGAGTGACATTCAGCTGTTTGCGAAATGACAGATGGTGACAGAATTTTGTACATTAAAGAACTTAGTACGTGTTAGCCCTTTCCCCAACATGACGGAGTTTCTTTACATAGAGTTGCTCAATGTTTATGAAGAAGCTGTGTTCAGTGAGCCATCACTGGCAAAAGTGATGGCTGAACAAACCTGTCACTCGCAGAATAAGGTTTCTACATCAGTGGGGGCGATTAAATATTTGATTATGTAGCATTGGTATTTACATAGGTGAAAAGTGTATTTCTTTTCACATACAGAAAGCAATAGAAATAAACTGTTCCTGAGTTTGAAATGACTTTATTGACCTGCCTCTCGCTGATCCATGTAATCCTCCATCACACAGATGTTAGATCTTCCTCATGCTGCTGTCCTGCTATAGGAGTTGCTCCCTGGCTGCCTGCAAAGCTGTGTCGCTGTGTTTTACTGTGCCTGGTACTGGCTTTTGTACTCCTTGGGGCGGGGGGCAGTCTCAAGGGGCAATTAGTTTTACAGAAAACAGGTGAAACTGGTGCTTTCTAATATGGCTCTGCTCCTTTCCTGCAGAGCAGGATAGCTACCTGCCTCTTCCTGGGAAGGGAAAATGAGCAGACAGGGCAGTATCTCAGTCATGCCTTGACCTCCAAAATATATGTATATATATATAGCAATAAAGCAAGAATACAAAGGTCAAGCTGAGTTAAACCTTGCCAGAGGTGATAAGCAACTTGATACTTCATAGCTATTAAAAACTGGGGTTGCTGTTCAGTAAGGATCAAGCTAGGATTAAAGCGTTTTCATATTGCTCCAAATGTGAATGTGCCTGTTGCAAAACGACGTTGAAATGGGGAGAGGGGAGGCTGGGAGAAGAGGAGGTGGAGAACGGTGGGGTTGGGTCGTAAGCGGGACGATGTCTGTGCGCGGGGAGCTTTGGGAGAGCCGCAGCCAGGCTGGGCCAGCCCGGTGCCGCGCGTGGGCTGCAAGCGAGGAGGAGGGTGGGACGCAGCTCTCGGGACTGGCCTTCTGAAGGAACGGGCTTCCGCAGGGCAGATCCGTCAGGAGGAGTACTGGTACGTCACGTTCTGGGTGGAAACACGTAGAAGAGTTGAGCATCTTCTTGGTTAGGTCATTGTGCTACTTGTCTGTTTAGGAAAATTGTGGATGCGACGGTATACGATACGATGCCATGCGGAAAGGCACCAGCGGTGCGCTTAGTACAGGATTTGGGAGAAAGGAATTGGGGTAAAGATTTGGGAGTAGAAATACTTCTGAAGGGTGGGACCTGAAAGGGTTGACACCGATGAATGTCTTGAAAAATATTACTACGGTAATGCTCGTAGCACAGAGAAAGGAGGGAGAATAAAAGGACCAAAATGAGAGATTACTGTTCCAGGAAAAGATGGTGTTATCACTGTGAAAGCGGTGAACCGCTTTAGAGGAATAGAGTAGTAGAGATAAAAATTCAGCTATGAGGAGTGTAATATCATACACTCCAGGAACTCAGAGAGAATTGCTTTGAAATGGAAACCAAAAGGCTTAGGCATCCTGTAATTCACTAAACTTATTAGCATAACGTAGCAATTGAAAAATTAAATGTGATTTTTCTGATACGGTGGGTGCGATCGTTTGCAGTGGGCAGGGACGTAAGTGTCACAGTCTAACATACCACACAGTTTTGATTAGCGTGCCCTAGAAAGAAAGGGGCAAGTAGGATGATCAGAGGGATGTAATAGCTATTTTGGGAAGAACAACA